TTTCGAAGCTAAAGATGCTGAAAGTCTAGGGCAGACGGAGGTTGGAAAGAGGAGCTAGCAGTTGCAGAATAGGCTGTTTTTTAGTTTAGTTCTGAAATATGGGACCAGTGATTTGAGTGGACACTAGAATTCTTAAGCTAGAGATATTGAAGACAGGCTTATTCTGAATTATTAGTCCTTGGACAGATGGAACAGTGCTTTGACACTGGGTGAGCAAATCAGAAAGATTGCAGCACTGCTATATTTTGTATTCCCTGATGTTCTGAAATAAAGGCTGCTTTAGTCTGTTATGTTCCTGTCTGAAGGAAGGAGAAATAACTTAAAATGAGTACACCTGGCATCCCTAATTCAAGACTTCTTTGTTACCTATACATCATATAGGTGTAATGATACTTTGGAGTAGAAGTATTTGGTTTCCATTGGAAATGGAAATGTAGAAGGGTGGAGCCCCAACTGCTGACCCTTCAGTGTCGTTCAGCCAGAAGATTTTTTTGTAATATTAAAAAGCACTCCACAGAATGGGAAAGCATATCTGGGCCTGAATGACAGGAACATCCTGATGCAATATGTGTGAATAAATATAGCATTGGATAATGTTTGTCCTGCAGAGGAAGTATTTGTAGGATATTGGAAGGCATTGGAGGGAAGAGAAATGTTTAGAGTGTGGTAGCTTTGCAAAGCCTTGTTTAAAGTCTGTTGTAGAGGAGGCTCCGTCACTGCTTTATATTTAAACACGCAGATTTAGAGTGCATTCAGCAGAGTGATTATTTTCAGTTTGAAATACTGCTGTCCGGAGCTGAGGGAGCTGGCAAGGCATAGCAGGCATGGCAAGCTGAGTTCTCAGGTTACATCAGGTGGCTGAAAATGCAGAGAATCTCCACCCCTTTATGCAAATGAAATGGCACCACAGGCTGATGCAAGCCCACTATGGAGCAGCAAATCCGGAATGACAATTGGCCCTCCCTTTCTCACCCAGTCTGAGCAGTTAAAACTGCAGACTCCTTTCTGCCTAGACAGAGAGAACATTGCTGCATAGCATGGGCAGTGAGGAGGAGACAGCTCAGTTGCTGTCCATGGAGTCCCTGGTTTGGGCCCTGGAGCAGCCCCTTTGCAGAGCCACTCTTGGCAAGCTCCCTGTGCATGATGGCTGTAGGTGGGGTGAAGGTGTCTGGAGCACCCAGGCAGCAGAGATGGCTGAGAAAAGGATCAGGGGACAAGGGGCCACACCCCATTCAGAATGAAGGGCAGCACTTAGAGGTGAGTGAGGTCAAATGGTGGTGTGTGGCCTACGTCCCAGAATGGATGAAGTTATGGTGGTGTTTGGGGGAAAGAAGCTGGAGTTTTTTGCTGGAAGTTTTGTAGGAGAGGTCATCATGAGAAAGTCCTTTTGAGGAAGAGAGACAGTTATGGTTCTTTCTCCCTGTTTTTTCTTTTAGGATATTGATTTAATTGATATCCTGTGGAGACAGGATATTGACCTTGGTGCTGTGCATGAGATTTTTGACTACAGCCACCCTGAGAAGAAAAACAATGTGGACAAAGAACCAAATAATGGGGAGGAATGTGGGGATGGATGGAGAAACAGAGGGGACAGAATCACTGACAGAACTGTGGTAGTGGATGGCAAGACAGGAGAGAGCATCCCTGCACAGGTAAAAACACCCCTGGTGGGGAAAATTCTTTCCTACCATTCTGAGATTGTTCTTCGTAACTGCCCAGTAGAGGAGATTGGAACCTGTAGTTCAGACCCTTTTCTGAGAAGTAGACTGTCTCCCATATTTTTCTTTTGGCTACTATTTTTATGTTTTCTTGATATATAGAATTATATGTTTTATGTGCTTATGTATTAAGAAACTGAGTTTTTGGAATAGGCTAGGAAGATAATAGAAAGATGGCACCTCATTACTTGGGCCTCAGTGGCTTTGAGAATACAGGCTACATGGGGTTTGTTGCCCAGGTTCTTGTGATCTGTATAGCTAGTCTGCTGACTGTCAAGCTCAGTCTGTCCAATATCTTCCGGCTAGAATCCACATGCAGGGCAGGGAGCAGTCCTCAGGAGGGCAGAATAGGCTCTGGGCCATTGATATACTGTGGGAAGTCACCCCCCCCAGAGAAAGAAATATTTTTGGGGATATTAAAAGGCAGATTATATTTCCCCAGAGGATCTTAAAGGCAGAACCTCCCCACCCAAGCCTCTCCCCCAAACAGAAACCAGGTCTGCAGAAATGCAGATGTGATAATCTTGTCAGAAAGATTGGAGCCAGGAAGCTGGGATTAGAAAGATAAAGATCCCTAGAATCAACAATCCCTCACACCAAAAAAAAACAAACCCCAACACTCATCAGCCACAGCCAGGGAAGCAGGATATGACCTTTGGGACATAATAGGATTAGCCCACCACCATCAGAATACCAGAAAGGCACACTCAGACTCAGGTCAAAGTTCATGCCACAGGAACAACTCCAAAAACCCAAGAAGGTATAAAAACCCACCACTCCCTACTACATGTGGTCAGTTTTCCCAGAGCCATCTTTCTGTCTGACTCTCCTCTTCAATAAAGTACAACCTTCTTTCTAAAGCAGTCTCCATTTTGATTATTCCCGGCTTGGACTGGACCCTGGTGAAGATTTTTCTCTCAACAATACTTAAGGGCCCAGCAGCACTGTTCTTTGGGAAGCAGGCACTCAGAACAGTTTTCCATTGCACTGTTTGTAGGCTGCATCCAGTATTACACCAAGAAGTAAATGGAAGTTATAACTTAATTGTAGCACTTAAGTTTCTCTACAATTTGTTTTGCTGCTTTTTTTTCTGGGATAGATTATGAGAGAGATGAGGTCATAGTGAATGAACTACAAGTACTTGAGCATGAAGTACAAACTGTACAGGGCACTTGAAATTCTTCCCATTATATAAACTAAATAATTACTATTTGTTGCAAATGATTAATTTTCAAATATTCCTTTTGATCAGATATATCTGATTTTGAGCACATGATACTATTTTAGACTCAGGGTTGGAACACCTTAAGCTTTGCACATGGTCCCACATGGTTTTTTTTTTCTGTCATCCAGAGCACCTTCTGACTATAATTGCAGATAGTCGCTCTGTGGATGAGATGGGTGGTCTCCAAATTTGATAAATAAATGACAAAAAATGATTGTATAGTTCGCTAACATTTTAAGACAGAAGACCTAATAAGTGTAAACTCTAAAAGAGACATAACAAAGTTAAACCACATTTACCACCACCCCCACAATTCCCCCAAAACAAAAGCTGCAGAAAGTCCTTTTTTTGGTATTCATTTGGTATCATCACTCTACCCATTGCAGCACCTGATACCAAAAAACATGTTAAAGGGCAGATCCTAGCTACCAAAACATGGGCCACCCTATTCCTGTTTTAGGATATGTGTGTTATATTAAGATGGGTCATATAGCAATCTTCTTCTGAGATCAGAAAAAAAGAACAAGTAGGGCACAGGAAAAAGAACATAAGTATTGAATATTAGAAAACCACAGGAATATATTATCTTCATGGTCTGGCCCTATGGCAGTAAAACAACCATTATTTTTCCTTCTAGGTGCCTGGGGTTGAGGATCAGACAGCCTTGTCTTTGGAGGAGTGCCTTAGACTGCTAGAGGCCACATTTCCCTTTGGGGAAAATTCAGAGGTATATGTTTTCACACTTTGGAAATAGAGATGATCAGTTTAGTTCCCTACTGCACTGCTATGCCTTCCAGATATATTAGACTGCAACTCCAGTAATTAGAATTGTGGTAGCTGGAGTCCGACACATCTGGATGGCATCAGTTTGGAGCAAGCAAGCTTAGTGTTCACTCTGTTTGCCAGTTCCACAATTTCAGTCTAGCAATAGCCAGTTTGGTCTAGTGGTTAAGGCACCAGGCTAGAAAGCAGGAGACTGTGAGTTCAAGTCCCGCTGTAGCCATGAAGGCCAGCTGGGTGACTTTGGGCCAGTCTCTCTCAGCCCAACTCACCTCACAGGGTTCTTCTTGTAGGGAAAATAGGAGGGGAAACTTGTGTTGGATATGTTCACTGCCTTGAGTTATTTGTAAAAGAATGAAACTATAATAGAAATACAAATTACAAATAAAGTAAAATTAAAATAAATAGATTGAGTCTCCATCTCATGTCCTTGCAACAACCTTGAGAAATGGACAACTGTGCTATGCTTCGAGAAGAAGGGAATGTCCTGAATTACCCAGGGATTTACTCACCCACAAAGCCCAGTGCCTTGTCTGTTTTACAGTGCTGATATTGTATGTCTTGCAAATTGAATCCCCCCCACCTTTGCTCTTATTCTAGTGTAGATTCAGGGAGATTAATAGAATACAGAGTGAATCTCACGTATTCCCACTCTTTCATGAGGTTCTCTAGGAGCCTCTTGGCTCATCATATAATAATAATAATAATAATAATAATAATAATAATAATAATAATAATAGTAATAATAATAATAATAATAATAAGTTGGAAGGGACCTTAGAGGTCATCTAGTCCAACCCCCTGCTCAGGCAGGAAACCCTATACCATTTCAGACATATGGCTGTTCAGTCTCTTCTTAAAAACTTGTGTTTGAGCATTCACCGCTTCTGGAGGCAGGTTGTTCCACTGGTTAATTGTTCTAACTGTCAGGAAGTTTCTCCTTAGTTCTAGGTTGCTTCTCTCCTTGATTAGTTTCCATCCGTTGCTTCTTGTCATGCCTTCAGGCGCTTTGGAGAATAGCTTGACTCCCTCTTCTTTGTGGCAGCCCCTGAGATATTGGAACACTGCTATCATGTCCCCCCTCGTCCTTCTCTTCATTAAACTAGACATACCCAATTCCAGCAACCATTCCTTATATGTTTTAGCCTCCAGTCCCCTAATCATCTTTGTTGCTCTTCTCTGTACTCTTTCTAGAGTCTCAACATCTTTTTT